AATTCTCCCTCGCTCATATTTCACTCTACCTAGTTTATATTACACTACTCATACCATACAGAATTCTGCTTTACACCTACTTCAAGTATCTCTGTATCTTGTTGATTTTAAAGATGTGAGCTGATTCTGACAATCCCATTTTGTGCCAAAAGCACATTGTTTTCAACTTCCTTCCTCAAAGTTATGTTTTTGCAATCTAAACTTTCTTTACTTCCCTAATGCTTTTAGAGGAAATAAAATAATAATGTAAACTCATAATTTGCTTCTCCAGGTTTTTTTGAGAAGGAATTGATACCCATGTACTTCCTGATCCATAGTTTTTTGGGGTTTTTTTTCTCCTAATCTTGTGCAACTTTTTTTCTCTAAGTTGAAAATATTAACATCATGAGAAAAGAACCTTTACTGCAGTACTCTAAATTGGTGCTATATTTTCTTGGCTGCGTTTTCCAAGTGATTATCTTGTCATAAACTGATAGAATACTTTTCTGTTTGGAAAGCTTTTAGATCCTTTTCTTGCAGGTGCTTAAACTCAAGCAAATTATTTTCTCACTAATTATTATTCTATTGTCTTCAAAATAATCAAGATACGTTGCACCTACTTCATTTGGTGCTGCTCTCCAAAAGCAACCATATCCTTTCTACTGCAGTCAACATAAGATCTGTAACAAATGATTCCTGCAAATTTAACCTTATGTGCAAAGACATCTGCAATTTCAAGCAGCAGTTCTTGGTGATAAATTGTATTTTTTGTAAGCTTTGCAGATGACATATATATCTTCCCAACACCATGCCTGTAACGCCACATGAAGTTTAAAAAGGACAAGTGCTGTATTCTGCACCTGGGATGGGGCAACCCTGGTTGTGTGTGGAGACTGGGAAAAAAGAGTCTGGAGAGCAGCACTGTGGAAAGGGACCTGGGAGTCCTGGTTGATGGCAAGTGGAACATGAGCCAGCAGTGCCCTGGCAGCCAGGAGGGCCAGTGGTGTCCTGGGGGACATCAGGCTCAGCATCAGAGCTGGGCATGGGAGGGAATTGTCCTGCTGTGCTCTGCACTGTCCTGCTCTGCTCTGCTCTGCACTGAGGCGGCCTCGCCTCGAGTGCTGGGGGCAGTTTTGGTCACTACAATCTAACACATTAAACCATTAGAGAACTTCCAAATGAGGGCCGCCAAGGTGGTGAAAAGTCTGGAGGAGAAACTTTATGAGGAGAAGCTGAGATCACTTGGTCTGTCCAGCCTGGAGGAGATGAAGGGGAGACCCCATCTCAGTTACAGCTTCCTCATAAGGAGAAGAGATAAGGCAGGTGCATTGTCCGGTTTTCGGCTGTTTGGAGGGCCTGGAAGGGCCCGGGGTGGCCTTGGGGCAGCCCGCGTATCAAAGGACGAGAAGAGGCTTCAGTTCTTCTTTCGGTCTTTATGTTTATTAATTGTTTATCTAAAAGATTTTCTCTCGGCCCGACAGAGCTCTGCTCAGCAGCCAGCCATGAGCACACTGTGCTGCCCTCCGGACAGTCACCTATCTTTATACCCATGGTTACGTGTATAATATTTATCATTTTTCCCCAATACCATTTATTCTTATTGCCCGGTGCACTTTCAGTAATGACCAATCCCAAAGTGCCACCATCACCACAGAAGATGGAGGAGAAGAAGAAGAAGAAGAAGGACAGGACACGCCCCAATTCCTCCATCTTACTTCTCTAAACCCCCCTGTACAGAAATCCTAAACCCTGTGTCTCACCCTCTAATTAACCAATCCCTTCACCATTCACCCCGGTGAAACCCTCCTGTCCTCATACAGGTGTCGTCTCCTGTGTAGGATCAAAGTCCAGCCACCAGACACTTCTGGAACATTCCAGGACTCCCGAGCCCCCCAAGGGTGGTCTCGGTGACACCTCAGTCCTGAGGTGCTGAGATCTCACATCTGCAGATCTCTTGACTGTGGTGACCAGTGACAAGACTAGAAACAGCATGAAGCTGAATCAGGGGCACTTAGGTTTGAAATCAGGAAATGGTTCTTTATCCAGAAGGTGGTTGGGCACTGGAACAGGCTCCCCAAGGAAGTGGCAGCCACAGCATCTGTCCTGTCCTTAGTTCAAGTGCTTGGACAGTGCTCTCAGGCACTTGGTGTGATTTTTGGAGGGTCCCGTTCAGGGTCGTTAGTTGGACTCAATGATCCTGATGGGTCCCTTCCAACACAGCGCATTCTGTGATTCTCGGATTCTATAAATGCAAGTAGTTCTGTATTGTTCTTGTAGACAAGTTGCCTCTCAAACAGGCAAAAGCAGTAGCATATACTTTGTACGTGAAACCATTACACTGCAGTTTTCCAAGCACTTGACAAGTTACTTGTAGGATTATTAACTAAAAAGATATTACTCAGTTGCATGTCTACAAACTCCTTTCACAGTCATTAAATAATGATGTAATCTACTTCTATAGATATAACCAAGTCATTAGTTCTTTTAAAGTCTCTAGAATTATTTTTCCCTGTAGAAATGAGATTAGCTATAATGCATGAGAATATTTTGCATTATCCACTGCTCTGTAATACTTTTTAGCTCCAATAAAGCAAAATATTTAACAAAACTATTCTGACAGACATCATGGAAATGCTTCTTCATAAGGATTCCTTTCAAATGTATGTGCAAACTATGCATCATTCTAGCAGAGGTTGCACAATCCCTTTCTTCTGAGACTGTGCACCTAATACACAGGAAATAAACCCATTATAAATGTCAGCTCTCTCAACAGCATTTCATAGATACTGCTGAAATACTGGATTAATCTCATTCTTAGCTGTTTTGGGAAAGTCCCAGATGCTGTTTTTTTCTACCTTCATTTCTTTTGTGAAAAATTTTACTTTACATCTATTTTACATTTTGTTCTATTTCCCCTTATGAAGCTGTCATCTTTTTTTCAGATCTTTCTTTAACTGTTTTTGTTAAGTTTAAGACTGTTTTTAACTTTTATTTTTTATTTTATTTTATTTTATTTTATTTTATTTTATTTTATTTTATTTTATTTTTATTTTAACTCTTATTTTTTCCTTTGGTGATTGCTGATTCCTGCAGGTATGTCCTCTAATTGTTTCATCTTGATTCAAGACAACTGTCCGCTCACATACCCCCTTGTACAATACTATTTTTTCTCTTGACACAGATAATTTTTTGTTACTTGGAATCTTGTGGATGAATAAGAGCTGAATAATGTCTCTGATGTGACTCAAAATTAGTAAAGAAATAGTGCCTTCTGTCCCCATATAAAGTAGGGAACAAAGACCTACAGAAAGTTTACTCAACTGCCTTGGCTCTTTACATTCAGTATTTCTTAACCTAAACTTAAACTCCAGAATTCTGATCCTGAATTTATCATTGTTTTAAAGATGCTTTCTCTGGTGTTTATGATGCTTCTCTGACTTACACATAAACAAAAAAAAAATAGAACAATTTTTAGAGTGTTTTGGTCTCTGATTTCTATCAGTGAACATTTCAAAGTTCACTTAAATTTCTGGGGCGTGCCTCAGATACTTCACAAGTTTGCATGCAGCTTATTTAAAGATTATAAAATATTCCTAAGATTTGATTTTTTTCATACTAAACCTAAATGAAATGTGGGCTTTATAGTCAAAATAACACAAAGGTTTATAAATAAGAAAATATAAGATGCCAAAAAGACCAGCAGGTCTGAAGTTCAGTCAATTCTGTCATTTGCACATCTATAGAATATATTCAGCAACACAAGGGCCACAATAGAATGGGGTGGAAAAATTGATATGAATAAAAACTATATCCCTAACAACAAACTCTTCAAAGGCAGAGTGAACAGAATCATAACTTCTTCAGCAGGTGTCTGTTACATAGAAAATTACTGAAACAGTGAAAATTTCAGAGACTGAAGTAGCAGTACATATATCCAATATATAGGCCAATCTGTGTTTGATAATACTAGGTACCTCTTTATCCAAGATATTCCAGTAAACTTTATTTATTAAAATTCCTTTCCATGTGCCTTAATTATAGTACTGGACACAACTTTCCCAGTGCAATGATATAACATATGTTATTAACACAGATGAAAAAAGTACCAAACTTAAGACCTGTCTGAAAAAAAAAAAAAAATGTATCCACATCAATGTCAAAATGATAAATTCTTGTTTAAAATGAAGTTGAAATAAATACTTACCTGATTAATAAGTCAATAGAACCACCTTATAATATTAAGTGGAATTATTGTGTGGTACTCGCAGTCTCTGTGTGACATAATTTTTATTCCCATCTATCCTGAAATTTAATGCTGGATCTTCACCTCATATCCTTAAAAAAATCACTGCACTCAGTTCTTGATGAATCCCCTTCTGTGGATTCTAGGAGCCAGGCTACAACCAAGCTAATACCTGTAGTTGGCTTTTAATCTAGAAACTAAAGTTTTGTAATTAGTAAAAAGCAGCTGACCTGGAAAATACTTAAAGGATTAGAATTTCCAAGCCAGTATGCAAGCCTATACTCCACAAGGGTAAATCAATATTTGCTTTGTCTGTAGCATGGTATGGAATCTTTTCCTCCTCTTTTAGCAATCTCAGCGATTAGCCCTCTTTAAAAGACTCAGCCCCACTGCTAATGCAAGCCTTCCACTATTCCGACTTCATTCTCTAAACACAGAGATCAAAATATTTAAAAACTTTTTTTTTTTATATGATAAAGTACTGATCAGTACTATGAACAGTACTGCTGTTATTATTGAACATATGGAAGGCACCGTGTAAAACAAATTTATCATATGAAAATATACATCTATTTATAAAGTAATAACAGTTTTCTTTTTGGAAAATACAATAAAGTCCATAAAATTTAACAAAATATGTATTGTGCCTGGTTGGAAAAAAGAAAATAAAGGTAGATGCTGGCAATGTAGAGAAAGGAACAGTGTATGGGATGATTCCCATACTGGTGCAGGAACTACGATTAATGAACAGAGAACACGTGGTTGACATATCACCTACCCATGGGAGTTCCCACGCCGTAACCTTTGGAGTCTATCAGGCCTCCAATCTGTGTCAGGTTACAGTTCCTCTGTGTGACAAACTCAATGGTTGTCGACTCCATTAGAAATGCGTAATCAGAGGTAAGCACACGTTGGATTCCTTCCTCATTACTTTTGACAAGTACTGACTGCCTCCTGCTGCTCATGAAGGCCCACATCTTGTCATAAGTGGAGATTTTGGATTTCTGAAAGACAAATATTAAATGCAACATGAGTAAGAATAATATGCATCTATGAGTGAAAGCAAACTCTCAATTTGCACATTGCTGTCCTCTCGGATTTTACTGTGTCAGGTTTTACCAAGGCAATTTTCTAAGGATACCTGCATCTTTCATCTCATTTGTACTTCTCATCTTCTCCATTAAAAAAAAAACAACTCACAGTCCAGTTTGTCTGGACAGTCCAGATATTCCAATGTGAAATATCTGTTGTTGATCAGTTTTTATTGTTTATATGTTTTTACACAGGAGGAAGGCCTACAAGTACTTCAGGTCAGCGGAAAACTATGAAGTATTTTACTCTAGCAAAGATAATGATCTATGTTGTTAAGTTTTGTAGGAGAATCTGTGGATTCTGGCACAAGTGAAATTTTGCTCTTATTTCAATCACTCAGCTGAACAGTTCTGAAAACCCCATGCATAGCGTGGCAATCTGAAGTAATGAAAGTGCTCACAGATGACAGTGTATGGAGAAAACAGTTGAAGGAGAGGACAGATAACATTTTACCTACCGTACATGACAAAAATACTTGGAGAAAAATTTTAGGTGAGAGATAATATCACTCTCAGGTCATAATAAGGCTAGCTTGCCTTACAGAAATGGACAACTGGAAGTCCTAAAAATTAATATGTGTTTTCCGATTTAATATTTTCAGAATACAAAGAACTGTTGTGGTAGGAAGGGAGTGAGTAATTTGGGACAAAGGAGTCAGTAGTTTGGAAGAAATTGATGCTGAGTAACTACAGAGGAGTTGCTTCCTTTATTTCACCTGAGTTGTTTCAAAAAGGTAATTACCTTCTCTCAGTTTTGTAAAACACAGTCCTTAAGAGATCATAATGACTGGATAAACTTAACTTATTAGACATACTGAACCTTTTATACAACATTTTTCCCATCTGTTTAATAACACTGCAAACTCAAGATGTATCAGAAAATGTTCTGTAATGTTAAATTTTGCCTTGTAAATAAAATGTAGAAATATCACATAAACACTAGCATAATCAGACTTTTTAAGGTCTCTTTCCTCTTTTGATGTCACCCTTAAACATAATTCTGCCATCAGATCTGGAAGAAATACTAAATAAAGATTGACACTACAAACATGTCTGAAGTTCAGATGATTGACAGCCAGAAATTCTGACCCAAAAGAGAATTTGCAGTGTATGTGGAATGAAAAAGAACATTTATTTAGATAAAAGAGGTTGCTATGTCCCCCTTCTGAAATACAATCCAAGAGCTCTTCCACTATGCCTGGGGACTTGAGAAATCAAGCATTTGAGCTGAGTCTAGTGTCAATGCTAACAAAATTGAAGACTTTTAGGGCTCTGAATTTTGCACATTGTTGTTGTACTGAACATAATCTGGGCCTGATTGCAAAAGATTTTAGTAACAATGACAGAGGAAAGCATTTCTCTTCAGAGTATTCTATGAACACATAGAATAGAGATGACCAAATAGACAGGGTCTCTCATCATAGTATTTGTGCTTTTTTTAAATCAAATAACTCTTGCAAGCATTTAATATTACATTGTAGCATAATATACTTCAAGAAATGAATGCTCTGTAGGAATTTGAGTTAATGTGTAATGCAGACAGGGTGGAAATAAATGTTTTTCAATACTTGCAAAATTTTACCAAGAACCCTTATTTAATAATTTCATCGTATAATCTGTACCCCAGTAAATTTTTTAGCTACAATAAGCAATCTGAGAAATATAAAACTGTGGCAGAGAAAAAAATTCTAGCAAATGGTTAGATGCACATTGCTGACACATGGTGGGGGGAGCAAAGAAAAGGCAAATGAGATACAACAAGAAAAAAAAAATAGAAGGAACTGTAGTACATATGTATTTTTCTATTTTTATTGAGAAAAAAATAAACTCAAGGATGAAAAAATATTAGCAAGGGGAATGGTAGGTTTCTACTCAATCATTAGAACACATGAAAAAAAAATACAATATCCTTTAAAGGACAGAATGTTCATATTGTGATGACTGATTTAATCAGCTAGGATGAAGCCACTGTTACTATTGAAAAGAAAAGGAAAAAAGTCATCAACAAAATCAGAGAAAGATCCAGCACAGGACAGCTCATTTACTGAAATAATTAAAATGAAATGAAAACATTAAAACAGTCTACATATGATTAATGAAGAAAAGAACACAAAATCTAGAATACAAGGGCACAGGGCTCACCACTGTAAAACTGACAAGGATGACAGAAAGTGCACAAAAAGTGAATGCTTTTGCACTACTTTCTTCCACCTCTAAAAGCTGAAATTATGCCAGGGAATAGCACCATTCTAATTTTGAAACCTATATTTGCTTTTTTTTTTGGTGAACAAGAGATTCTTTTTTTTCAGTCTTAAATTAAAAAACCTTTGTCATTGATTTAGGAAAATATAACCACAAATAGTTATCCTGTGTTTGCCAAAATACTCAGTGGACTCATTGATGAAAATCAAGAAGTCAGAACAATGAAAAGCATCGGGACCCATTTGACATTGAATTAAATATAATGACACTCCAACATGCTTCCTGTGGTTATGACTGTATCATTCATACTGTTAGAAGCAGATGCTGCAATTTACATTACGTTTCCACCTTCCTTCATTGTGTGCAAATCAATCTGGTTAATCAACCTATACACTCCATCAATGACGTGTATTATTTTATCTGGGTTAGTTCACCATATTGTTTCATCTAACGGGAAATCACTGTCAGGAAATCCAACCTAAGTTGAAATCAGCCGGAAATGATGTTTGCATGAGATAACTCATGGTGACGTGGTTTGCCATGCTTGTGTTCCCTCGGGAATGCTGAAGACATAAGAAAGCTGCCTATGCCTTGAATTTCACTGGAAGAAAAAAACAGAACTAACTAATAGGAAAGCTGGAAATGAAAAGATTGAGCAAATCTAGAAACTCATCTCAGCATCAAACCTGATGCATAAAATGTTAGCTCTCACAAATGACATTCAGAGGATACTGTCAGTGTCACACTCAGCATTCATGAATTAAACATCCTTGGAAGATAACTGTGCTTGTCAGGGACCACAAATGGAACCATGGCAAAGGCTCTAAGTTAGTCATAGTCTAATGCTATGTATAAATATGAGTCTGGAAACAGAATGAGTCATTGTCAGTAATGTGTTACTTACTGCTCCATCCTGGAGCACTGGCTTGGAAAGAAATATCTGAGCAGCGGGACTCTGGACCACAAGGTTAGAAAAATATCAGAATGTTGAAAATATGACAGAATAAACAAGGATCAAAGTACATGGAAGCAGACTTCATAGCACAAATCAAGAGTGGATAAATGCACAGTAAAAATGTGCCAGACTAATTCTGACATTTTTCTATGAAGGAAAAATTACAGATCCATTAATAGAGATTTTTATTTTAATGATAGCTTACAACTTCTTTCCTGGCTTCTAAAAGCATTTAGGTGCTACAGAAAATGCCTCAGCTTTGCTTTCACCAATGCAATATTTAAACTCAAAAGAGTCTGTAGTAACTAAGGGAAGATTGAAGATAATTAAGATAAAATTTTGAAAAAAAAAGTAAAAAAAATCAGCAACCCAGTACTGATATATTTTATGAAAGTATTCTCCACCACATGAGAATTACATCATCATAATTATTATGTGAGGAAAAAAACCCACAGATTCCCAATCCGACTACTAATACTAATAGAATTCTCTAAGAGTCTAACAGCTTTGTGACTTTTGTTTCCCTGAGTTTTTCATGCTTAGTGGACACAAGTCACTTTTCTTAAAGTTGATTCATGGAATTTTTAAAAGCTAAAGGAACAATGCCCATTCATGCTGACCTTATGTAATAGGCAAACTGTGAAGTGTCACTTCTGAATGACTTCACCAAGCTCATCACTTTCACATTTACAAAAAGAATATGAAGAGAGATCAATGCAAATGAGCCTTATCAAGGTGTTAAACATGGGCTCTCAAAATATCTTTGATGACAACCTGGAAGGATAAGCACTGGACAGATGGAGCAGCTTCAGGTAAAGAAATGGCAAAGAAGGTAATATTTAACATCTCAAGCCAGATCAGCATCTTGTCAAGATTTGACTGCCTCAGGGGTCAGCCCTAGACCTGATACTACTCAGTATCTTTACAAGCAGTTGGGAAAATGGTACTGAAAGCACCCTTATCAAGTTTGTGGATGACATGAAACAGAGAGGAGAGGCAGAAATACTGAAAGAAAGAGCTACCATGTAGATAGATCACAAAAGGCTTGGAAATTAGTGTAACAGGAAATGTATGAGATTTAAGAGAAATTCAAACTCTATGCTGTGAAAAAGTAATCCCAAGCATCCGTACTGGCTGGGAATTGGCTGGTGGGAGTGAATCTTTGCTGAGAAGGATTTATGGTGCCAAGAAAACAGCTAGCAGAACATAACCAAGCAGCCTCTCTGCAGCAGGAAAGCAGACTGCAGGCAATATCAGCAGACTATAGGCAAACCCAGAACAAGGGAAATGATTAATCCACAACACTTGGAATTTTTCAAGCTACACCAAGAATGCTCTGTCCAGTTTTCATTCTCAAAGTTCAAAGAAATGGTAAAATTAGACAGTGCCCACCAAAGTTATCAGAAGATTGGAGATCTTAACTTACAAAGAAGGATTTGTGTAAAATGGTGTGTTTCCTAGAATGGAAGGCTTACAGAGAATCTAATGACTTTCTTCCATTACCTAAAGAAAATGTTAAAGAAAAGCTGAAGGTAGTCTCCTCATTAGTCCGTGTGGGGACAGCATAAGAGGCAATAGCCAGTGCTTCTAATGGGAAATTCTCTGAGTGAAAGGAAAAAATTCTTCACAATGAGAAAAACTAAGTATTGGAACATGTAGCTCAGAGAAGTCGTAGAATCAGCTTACTGGAAATATTTGAGACAGCTTAGTGTAACTCTGAATAAATAAATCTAGCACCATGCACCCTGAATAAGTG